CTAAAGAGAACTATGGGGAAAAACACTTAGTTCTTTTTTAATTTGTTTAAATTGCAGTGCTGGGGTACATTTTGTAATGTGCTCTGCCTGTGTGCACAGATCTGTACACCCAAAAATCTTTTCAAGGATCAATATCTGTCCATAACAGCTTATTGGTAACTAGATCTTCAATTGTCAACCCCCTTGGGACCTTTGCTACTTTTTCTATTAATTGGGGTATTTTTCCCTTTTCTATGCAGCATTTGAAAAAATATGTGCTACAACCCCAATACCCCAAAAATTGGGACGCTGTGTAAAATCTACATAAAAACAGAGTGCAATGATGTGTAAAGACTCATGAACCCTTATTTTATTCACAATAGAAAATAGAAAACATATTAAATGTTTAAACTGAGAAAATGGACCATTTTAAGAAAAAAAAAATATGGTAATTTTAAAATGATGGGAGCAACACCTCTCAAAAAAGTTGGGACAGTGCCATGTTTACCAGAGTGTAGCATCCCTTCTTCTTTTAACAACACTCTGTAAAAGTCTGGGAACTGAGGAGACCAGTTGCTGGAGTTTTGGAAGAGGAATGTTGCTCCATTTTTTCCTGATATAAGATTCTAACTAATCAACAGTCCTGGGTCTTCTTTGTCATATTTTTCATTCCAAGATGTGCCAAATATTTTCAATTGGTGAATGGTCTTGAGTGCAGGCAGGCCAGTTAAGCACCCGGACTCTTCGTGGTTTAGCATTGTCCTGCTGAAATATGCAAGGCCTTCCCTGAAAAATACATCATCTGGATGGGAGCATATGCTGATCTAAAACCTGGATATATTTTTCAGCATTGATAGCCCCTAGATGGGCAAGCTGCCCATTCCATATGCACTAATCCACCCCCATACCATGAGAAATGCAGGCTTTTGAACTGAGCGCTCATAACAAGCTAGAATGTCCCTCTTCTCTTTAGTCCAGAGGATGTGGCGCGCATGGTTGCCAAAAAAGAGCATTACATTTTTATTTGTAAGCCCTCACGGGGAGGGCCCTCCTTACCATCTTGTCTTAAATTGTATTGCGACTGTAATGTCTTCCTTATATTGTAAAGCGCTGTGCAAACTATTGGCGCTATATAAATCCTGTATAATAATAATAATTTGTCCAACCACAGAACAGTTTTCAAATGGCGACAGACCATTTTGAATGAGCTTTGGCCCAGAGAACATGGCAGTGTTTCTGGATCATATTCAGATATGGCTTCTTCTTTGCATGATAGAGCTTTAACTTGCAACTTTGGATGGTACGGCGAACTGTGTTCACAGACAGTGATTTTTGGAAGTATTCCTGAGCCCATGCAGTTATGTCCATCACAGAATCATGCCTGGTTTTTAATGCAGTGCCGTCTGGGGGCCCGAAGATCACTGGCATTCAATATTGCGTTTCAGCCTTGTCCCTTACACAGATATTTCTCCAGATTCTTGGAATCTTTTGATGATATTATGTACTGTAGATGATAATATATTTAAAGTCTTTGCTATTTTAAGGAACATTATTCTGAAATTGTTCAACAATTTTTAGACGTAGCTTTTCACAGATTGGTGAACCTCTGCCCATCTTTACTTCTGAGACACTCTGACTCTGTGAGATGCTCTTTTTATACCCAATCATGTTACTCACCTGTTGTCAATTAGTTGCAAAATGTTCTTCCAGCTCTACTACCCACTTTGCCAGCTTTTTGTTGCTTTTTAATTGTTTAAAAAAACACCTGGATGTATTCTTAAATGCACAGAATATTACTGGATATTGAGTTCTTAGAGGTATATTAGGCATCAGAGATTGTTGATCCAGGGAATATCCGATTGCCTTATGGGATCATGAAGGAATTTTTCCCCCTGTTGGAGCAAATTGAACCGTGCTTTATAGGGTCTTTTTTTATTTATGAGATTCTGTTTTTATGTAGATTTTACACAGCGTCCCAACTTTTTGGGAATTGGGGTTGTAGAACAGTGTGCATCTCAAAATACATCACTCACATTCATCATACCCCCTTTTCCAGATAAAATAAAATGTAGGCATATACTGGTAAGGCCTATTATCTCTGATAAAAAATGTACTGCTTCTGGCCAATTTTTCACTGCTGTATGCTCTGTGGTGTCTTTATTCTTTTTGGCCAAAATTTGGCTTTCAGAACTATCAAAGCTCATGTTTCTCATGTTTAGCTTGTTTCAGAGACTGTTGGCCTCTCTTTCATGGTTCTTTCAGAAACAGCTTTTTTTTTTTTTTTAAATAATAGGCATTTCTCTCTCTTTTCTCACCTTACAGATGAGATTCCATGTAGCCGTCAACTCTGAAGGCCAATGTCTAATCTTGTGGCCGTAACCCATTTTTTTTATAGGGACAAATTGGGGCTTAGGCCTAGGACTACCTTTGTCAAAAGGTGGTACCCAGTTTGCATTGCAGGTTTGCTTCACCAGGGCAGAGACAGCCTTACAAGTTAAAGTGACACTAAACTCAGGAGTTAAATCCTAAAAATGCATTCAAGTGCCTAACTATTAACAATACTGGACCTTATTTGTGTATCACTTGGCTGTGGATCCTCAAATCATCTCTGAATTTGTGCTGACACCGTCCTTCCTCCTGGAGGGTGGCTACTTTTGTTCCTCATGGTCCCTTGTGTGTTGTAAAGTACCCACCGTTCCAGGTTCACTCCTGTAAGAGACTACAATCTCAATACAAAGTAGTAAACTAAATATATACTGTATATATATAATATTAGAAATTTGTAAATATTAAAATGCATAAAATAATTGTATATATCTGCTGCTTCCCCTGTAAAGCTTGGTCATTCAACTGCCAGATGCCAAAACTTCAGGGTAATAAAAACTTCAGTCTTTATTAACTTCAGGGTAATAAAGACTCTGGCATTTGGCAATAAAATGATAGGTAGTAGAGCTTAGGATTAAGAGTAGGTTGGCTTTAAAGGGACTCTTAATAAAATGCTCCAGGCAAAGAAGACATTGAATGCTCACCTCACCTTCAGCTTCCAACATCTGCAGTAGTGAAGGGAAACCAGTGGTTGAAGATCCTGCAGAACCAAAACTCCATTACTGCAGATGTAAGTGGCAAAAGAAGCAAGAGCGGTACTTATTCAATAGGCTCTTGGCACATTACTGTAAAGTTTTCTTTTAGTGGTCAGGCCATTTTATTATCAACTTGTACAGAAGTCAAAGCCCAATGTACAACATCCAAGGGGCTTCACAGTAACACAGGGATCAATTTGAAGACTTATACAGGTACTTTAGGCAGCCCAATGTTTTAGTCTAAATCAGGCATCCTGATTATCGAGTATGGGTAACCAAGAAGGTAACCACTGTTAAACACAGTTCTCACATAATAAAGTTGATGTGAACACTGGCTTTTTATGAATCTTCCACTTCTGTTAACTTATTTTAGCCAAGAGAGGCAACTTTAATGTTTATCTTGTTTTGTGACACTGACACTTCTTCCAACATGGTATTTTTCCTAGTCGTATTTCCTGCATGGTTGGTTACCACTTAAACTTGGAATATCTGATCATTTCGGTAGTCTCTAACATAATAAATTAATGAACACAAATCAGCAGTATACCATTCATTTGCATGCTTTCTTTCTTTTCACGCACATGAGCAGGCATGAATGACAACACTGGAATCTTTGATAGCGGGTGCAACCAATCAAAGTTTAACATGGCTCTACCTATTAATAACGTCTCATTTTATTTCACAAACATTTTAGAAGGTTATGTGTGAAAACTGTGCTAAAAAGAAAATGTCTTGTTGCCCGTAGTGTTCATGTCCAACTCTGGACTACAGAAATGATAGCTGTAAACTGACTGGTTTCCATGAGTACAAGAAATTGCATTTTAAGTGTACTTTTATACACAAAGCCCTTACTGATTTTGAAAGAATAAGTATGTGAGTGTCCATTGAATTTGGGGTTAGTCAGCCACTCTCGTTTCAATGTGGATACACTGATATCTTAGCCTTTTTTCAGCCTAAAAGAACATATCACACCTTTAAGCCTTGAAGAAGGGGGAGGGCAGAGCAAGGTGATGAAATACATAAAAAGAAAAATGAGGAGAAGCAATCAGGTAGCATAAAGCAATAAAGATTAACAACACCCATAGCAACCAGAAATCACATAACAAATGGCTCCAATAAGATGATGTGTAATTGGTTGCTATAGGTTACCATTATCTGCACATCCCTGTTACCATTTGGACTGTATGCAATACATTTAAAAGTCCATGAAACCAAATGTGATCTCCTGGTGGCTTGCTAGTCACCATAAGAACGTAGCTTTGATGAAGAGTGAGCAGCAGTTTATAGGACTTTCTCTTGGTGATTGACCACACCTCCTGTGAGGTGCTTCTTCTTTAAAGGGAAACTCTAATTCTTTCAATTTCAAGCTCTATGTGGAAACAGGATCACTGTTAGACACTGCATGTAATAGTAAGAGATGGGCAACTTCACATAATAGAAGCATGAGACACTGTGTGTAATAGAGAGGTGTAAGTTACTGTGTGTAACAAAGAAGTATGAAGCACTGCATGTGATACAGAGACATGAGGCACTCTGTGTATTATTGAGACGTGAGGTACTGTGGAATGTAGAGGCATGAAACATGAGCAATATGTGTCCACCACTGCTTAAATCCCAGAGCCACAACACACTTAGGCCTTGTACACATGGATGCTGGATGCAGAATTGAAGCAAGCACCTGTGTGCCTATAGCCTTTGTTCCCCTGGATTTCACCCCTTGGCCCTAAAGTGCAAAAGGCCTGACCTTTGATCTTTCATGACAATGGCTGGTAAATTTCTGGACTGGGTAGTTTTGCAAGTCATTTTTCTTTAGTTTCTTTGAGGGTTCCAGAAGTTATTTGTAATCAAGCCCATAACGATAACCTGCTCAGCAGTATGTTAGATATTCTTTATTGTGAAAGACCAAGTAAGCAATAACTCACAGTTAGATGTTTTTTTTTGAAAAAGAGCATAGGACTTTATTGTTCCACAACAGTGCAAGATGGCAAAAAGCACATGTACTTAACAAGTGCTGCAATTAATTAAAACTTATACTTGCAACAAATATTACAGCTAGGATTAAAATGAAACATATTAGCAGTTTTTGCTTTCACTAGATTGTCATTGAGAAAAAAAATGCTGCTTTAAAAGGAAATCTCAGTTTTTTTTAATCATAGATACAAAACAGTTTTGCTAGGAACATTAGAAGTCATCAAAAGCCTTTCATGCACTCAAATTGTGTCTACTCATGCATTTAACTTGTAGTTGCTGCTAACTCCACAATCACGAAGTGTGACAACGATCTGTAGCAGAACATGGTTACTCTGAAGCCAGCAAGTTCTGACATAAGAAGAGGCACAAAAAGGCAGATTCTCCGTCACTTCATAGGCTTATTTTCAGACCGAGACATAAAGCCAGCTCAGACTTCTGGATTATACCATCTCTGTTCACGTCACAATGGTTTAGTAGAATCTTACGGAATTTATCCAGGTCCACACCACTGATACTTGGCTGTTAACAAAAATATACAAATTTTGCAAGATTAGCAAGATGTTTGCATTAACGAGGAGTTAAACTGAACTGAATTGCGATACAACACAGACCAGGACCTAACTGGTAAAATTACATCGGGTCCGAGAGATTTCAAGTGCAAACCCCCTGCCCGAGGAAGGTCAATAACCATAAGCATCTTGAGTCTTATGAACAATGTGTCCCTGTCTACAACATTCCACTGTTTGCTTCTTGCATTGACAAAATGATTGGCCATTATTTGCGTATACAGCTTAAAAAAAAAGTCATATGACCACCTTCAAAGGTTATATATGACCCACTGTTGGCACACTTGTTATTTAGAGTAGGATGACACAGGTGGGAAACTTCAACATATATTTGAAAATATCTGAAACTAAGACCTGCGTTTTGAAATGTGAAACTGATTAGACAGGTCCTCTTTGCTGATTGTTGCAGCTTGTCCTGGAGAACTTATTTTATATATTTTCTTCTTTGCCCATTGTTAAGTAGAGCATGGCTAAATAGAAGGACAAATCAGTTATAACCTCTTAAAATGTCAACTTGTTCCATAATCTTTTCCAGCAAAATAATAATTTAACCATCCATTATAACCTTTGCAAGGTCATTCAGTAATCTACTTGGAATATGAAATCTCATTTTAATCAGCTTTAATAACAGCATGGCTTCCATAGAAAGACAGGAACCCGGTACCTGAAGGTTTTTAATACACCACATCAAATTAAAGCACGTGTATGGTGCTTTTGTACATAGTTTATTTATTTAAAAATTTACATTTAACTTTTTAATACATGACATCAAGTTAAAGCAAATGTATAGAACTTTTGTACATAGTTTATTTATTTAAAAAATGAATTATTTTACTTTTTTTTCAGGTAAATATAAAATAATGCATATTAATATTTTGCATTTGTATATACAGTTAGAGCTTTTTACATGTCATCCTAGGTGTCCAAAGTGTAAACTGGACCTTACAGTTGTCCACAGCACAGAAGTTGAGGGTAAATCTTCTGATGGGGACACCTGTTCTGTCTAAAAGAAAATTCTAGGGCTGGTAATGATTAAAATTTTCCTGTTCGATTAATCAAAAATGTTTTAATCGATTAATCGACTAATTTCGATTAATTATAACGCACATACAGATCCAACTACTTTTAGGTAATAGGGCGCATTCTGATTTCTTGTAAAACCACACAAAATGGATCTCTAAGCTGGAATAAAAGTGTTGGTCCAGTATCCACCAATGTATGGGATGCTGACTGGGAAGTAGATACACTTGTAGAAAAAAAAATATATTGTCCTATCAATCATTATTGCATTATAATTTGCACTGTTTTAGTTTACAATTGACCCCGTCAGTCACCCTAAAAAAAATAAAAATCTTAGTAGCTGTTTCCTGCTATGGAAGAGGTAATATACTCACCTATCCGGTGGCCCTTGTCTCCATCCAAGCACTGCAGCCTCCATCAAGCTCATTAGCATTTGACACTTCTGGGATTTGTACCCCACTGCACAATGTGATTCCATCCACTGACCCGTACATCAATACTGTGTCCTGTAGGGGTTGGAGGATTAAACCACAGTGTGTAGTGAGGGATACAGGTATCCAACATTTCTGGAAGTGTTGAAAGCTGAAGAAACTGACAGAGGATGTAGCACTTGAACAGAGAGGTGAGTATATTACCTCTTCTATTGCAGGGAACTGCCATTAGACTATGAGACTCACCGGCTCAAGTGATTCCGTCAGGTAGCGAAGGGAAGGAGGGAGGAGTCCGGTGACGTCACGGACATCGACGTCACGGACATCGACATCACCGGACTCCTCCGACGGAAGACCTGGAAGCCGGCGGAGAGGTGAGTACCGATCAAAATAATTAACGATTAATCGAGGGATTAATCGTTAATTTCCGCAGCCCTAGAAAATTCCTATAGCTTTGGAGAAATATCCTCTCACTTCCTGTTGCGTCTTTGGGACAGGAAGAGCTGACTTTGGTTGCTGCAGATACTGTACAAAGTTTACAATGGGATCAGTGAAGTCCTTCAACTCAGGTGGTAGCCCTAAGGTCATCCCCCTTATACTGCACATATCCCTACACTACCAGTGTGCTTTAATTTTCCTCAACCGATAAATTTCTCTACCGCGTCTCTTTCAGGTGCCCATGTCATGAAAACAGCTGATTCGGATGACTCGGCCCCACTGGAAGTGACACAGTGGAGAAAATGTATAGGATCGAGAAAAATTATAGAACACTAACTTTGACACTGTCCGGCCCCTCCCACTAACCTCCCACAGCTCACAGCCCAGAAGCATGGACAGCCAGTTCCCCGGCAATTCATCTTAGTGGATTGGCCCACTATTTGAAAAATAATGTGGAGAAAAAATTTCTGTGACACAAGAATGTCTGTGCAGGTGGGGCGTGTGGGAGGGACTTGTATATGGGCGGAGCACAAGGGGGCCCCATAATCTTGTATTGCCCGGGGGCCCCATGTGTTGTCAGTCCGCCCCTGACTGCACACCTGTTCTGTGTTCAGATTAGAGATTAAAAGACTGTCAGGCTGCCAAGTCACTGCAGGGAGGATGCCCAGAACAAGCTGCGCTACTGAAAGTGAATGTGCTATGGCTGTAAACTTTTTTTTCATATATATTTTATTATTTGATGCTGGTGCATAGTAATTGTTTGATCGTGGGGCTTGAGGTCAAGTGAGGATATGATAATCATGTGCATACAGACAACAGCCATTAGATCAGCAAGTCATAGCTTGACCTACTGATCACATTGCCTTTGCATACAAACAAATGGCACATCATCAATAGGTTCTTACTTGACCTACTGATCAAATACATTTTGGTATGGTTTTGTCACACACCCATAGGGTTAAAACATACAGGCACAGAAGTAGCAGGTCAAGAAAGGAACAGGCAATCACATGACTATTGTTTCCGTCAGACAGTAATTTTACCTTTTCCAATATTTTGGAAAATGTCAGAATTTTTTTCCATGATTTTGGCAAAATTTTGTTAAAGGAAATACTATCATCCTTATAGTTGAGACAGCATCAAAGGAAAATTTGTCATGAACTGGGGAGCTGATGCTTTTGGCTTTCAACCCTATTAGCATGACCACACAAATTAGTAACAATCTAGTCACACTGCTTATGCATTGCATTTCTTGCGCACACTTCTTCAGGTACAAGTGAACATATGTAGGCATCTATGCAAATGGATACTAACATGCACAGGAGCATACCCATAAATATGAATCATTAACTAATGCTGCTACTTTGGAAGCCTCTGCTTCTTTTAAAGCATTTTTCATTGTAACATTTTATATCTGCTAGAAAACTCACCTTCACTAGTTCCATCATATCTTTGACAAATCCATCAACTTCAGGACCTTCAAGTGCTCCTGTTTTACTCTTGAAAAAAAATATAAAATATGATTATTCACCATGTCCAACAGTCCAAATAACTCATATTTGGAATTTTCTTATATCATATAAACAGTACATATTTTTTTATTAAACATTTGTATCCTAGTTGACAGTTCATCTACTGAACATTGTGATGGAGCACAGCATTTGCTGCGCTCACACTTTGAGTTAATGTTTATCATCGACAGCTTATCTTTATAACTAATAGTAGTGCCCTGTAAGTAGTGCCCTGCTTGTGCTTATGAACATTAGGCCTTCACTATTAGGCACTCTGGTATACTACGCATAACAATTTGATATTACTTTTCTCTATTGAATTACAGCTTTACAGTTTGGTCAAGGACCCACCCCTGCTGCTAACTGGACAACAATGAAGCCACAACACATGCATGAGGGATTACTCAGCTGTTCCCTACTGTTAACATGTCAATAGTGTTAAACTGACAGTACTGTGTGAGGCAGTAGAGCCTTGATCAACTAAGAGTGTTAAATATTTCTCTCCCAGTCTGTACAGATTGCTGTACAGATGATTACAGAAAGCAAAGCGAAAACCATATTCAGGTACTCATATTAGTTATATTTTTAAATACAGATACAAATGTTTAATTATTGCTTACTTTGTGTGTTTTATATCTGCCTGGATTGTATCACTAACCAGCAATGCATAGTGATGTTAAAATTATGAGCAGTTGATGTTACTTACTACATCATAGTGCGCAAAAATAGTTTCAAAGTCCCTTTTTCTTTCATCTTGACTGCTTGCCTAAGAAAGAATGAATGGCTATTAGACATTTGGGTTTAAATGTTAAATGGTGCTGTTTGTTCAAGCTCTCATTGGTTGATTGTGTGTAAGGCATAGACACTCATTCAAGTGAAAAAACAGTTAAAGGCTGAATACTATACAGTCTGCCATTATAAATAAACATAAGAGGACAGCAATGGCAGTTTTCATATGCCTATCCTTACAGATTCACGTTAAAGAAAGACAGTTCTGTAAATAATTGTTACCATTACCCATGAACTGGTTTTTGAAGTAACCATTTCCTTTTGGTTCTTGCTATATTTGCAAGCACAAAAGTGCACACCTTCTAAAGCTATCTAGCGTTTTTTGGAATGGGTACAGACACAGCAGTATAGGGTAAAGACCATCTCCAAGCAGCTTAAAGTTTCTGTGACTACAGGTCCATGGAGTGTAGCCAACCTCACTGGATGTGCCCACAAGAGGATAATTGGCCCCCGACTGAACAGAAATATAGTGCCAATGGTAGACAAAGGCCCAAGGAAAAAATCCCAAAGAGATACAAGCCATAAGGTAGATGGATACAGTCACAGACATTATGAACATGCCCTTGCAAAGACTTATGACCCAAAGAAAACACAGATTGCTCTGAAAGAACGTGATCCATGTGTTCTTCAAGGTCACCAGATGTCAAAATCAACTTGATGGTATTTAATAATGCAGTAACTCTATGGTCACCTTTTAAGCATGTATACTATGAATTGCTTGTCTAGAAAAGTAACAGGTTAATTTTTTTTACAGGGACCCCAAGTCTGATGCAATGAATCTTATTGTTTTCCTGACCCTCTTTTCTGTTCTAGTTTGCCCGTTTAAGCATTGCAGTTTAGTTACAAAGCAGGTGCATTGTATTGGTATTATGACATTCACCAAAAACCTTGATACAATATGTTTATAATTAATATGGATGGCTGTGTTTCTTTGTGCCGCCAGATTAATTTTAGCAAGAATTCCATACTATAATTCACATGGCCATGAATGTTTTATAGAGAAGTTATAACAATGGAATGAAATGAAAAAGCCATCTTTTATATGGAATTCTTGTTTCAGAGCGCCGCAATAAAAATTAATAAACTGGTAAGTACAATAAGAGTACAAGGTGTATAATCATATCAACTGGATATGAATGGATCTAGATAAAAGACAAGGTACAGGGCTCACAGAATCACATAATGATGTGGGAATTTACATATATTAATAAAGTGGAGGACACAAATATGAAATTCTAGATAATAGATTATTTCTACTGAATAAAAACCTAGCAAAGCAGATTTATTAATTGATAAGTAAAAAAAATTAAGATATATTTGGATAGGCAAGAGGCTAGGAAATCATATGTATGCATTGTATTTATAGGTTGGGTGTAACATTTTAAATGTCAGAAAGCACTTGACAACTTTCTTGAAATAGTGAAGCTGCCCTTACATGGCCAGATTGGTAGCACTGCCCTATTCAGCTAGGGGGTAGGCTGATCTCCAAAGATTTGGATGTTTACACTTAAACAGTTGCAGGATGATAGAAAAGTCATAGAAGAATTAAATGCATTTGCTCTGATTGCCTTTAGATGATTTCATATATTTCATCTCGCAAAATAGTACAATTGCGATTTCAGGGACAGATTCCGCGCGTTTGGGGCTATAATAATAGACGCAAATGAGCGGAATCCATGCAGTTGTAAAGATTTTAGCATTTGCGTGCTGTGCGGAGACCACACGGGAAACGCAAATGCTATATGTGAATGGAGGCTAAAAGTCATTTTGTATCCTTACAGTGGCATGATATCTGCAAATCATCATAAACTGTCTTTTCGTGGTGCATTTTTCACTGTGTAATAGATTTTTTTTTCTTTTATAATTAGTTTGGCTTACATACAGGAGCAGCACCCAAATATGATTTGTCATCAATGCAAAAATAACCTGTTGCTGGCTAATTTCTATAAACACTCTCAATAAGATAAAAAAAGACAGTGCAAAAATAATCCAGCAGAAGGGCAGTTTTCATGTGCAATGCTAGGCCAAAATGTGCTAGAGGGCACATGCAAGTGTTTTGAAGCAATTAAGTGACCATAGATAACAAAGCAGTGTAAAAATGGCCAACATCAGGACAGTTTTGATAGGCCTAATAATTGTAACTTTATTTTTACTATGGAAACAGAGAGTTTGAGTGAATGAGAGTGATACAATGTGAGTGTCAGGGCAGGATGCAGGCACCTTAGTCAGAGTGTATAGTGGTGAGTTGCTTCACCTTTACACGCTCAGCATGCGAAAACCAATAATTGCCTATGGGCATGGTTCCCACCTGGGCGTATTTCAGAGTGTAGGAATGCGCTGAAAAAGCCCTACGCCCAAAGAAGTACAAGACAAGTACAGGAGCATAAGGATACACCCGGATAGCCCTCGTAAACGCGCGTTTCTTTTACTGCAAATCGTGGTAAAAACACGAGGCACGAAACACGCGGCAAACACGCATATTCCGTACGCCCAGGTGTGAACCCAGCCTTAGCAGCCGCCTTTTCCATAAGGCAATATATGCCTACCGTTACTTGGATGCCCCCAAGACTTAGACTATACACTCTGGCTAAAAATGTTGCAGGTGGCCCCCAGGAACAAAGGCGTAGTACTGACCGGTGACAAGGTACAAGACAAACAGAAAGATAGAAGACAGGAACAGATAGCAAGATACAAAAAAATACAATTATACAGGATCAAGAAAGGGCTACGATGCAAGGTACAAGACTACGATACAAGATAAATAAAAGGCAGGACTGGGATACAAGAGCAGAATACAGGCTGAATAGACTGGACTGAACTATCACAAGCCCAGAGCCCCGGGCTTGTGATGCTTAAACAGAGCACCGCTAACCAACCCCCAGGCTGTGAGGGGCGTGTAGCCAGGCTGATTAGCCTGATCAGCCTGCAGCTGACTAGACTTGGGTAGGTGCAGTTACAAGAGGCAACCACCAGATGGCGCTGCGTGGTTGCGACATGCATAAGAGCATTTGACATGCTCCTAACAATTAGGTGGTGTATGTATGCAAGATTTATCTTTCAAACAATTAAACAGCATGTTGTGAACAAAAGGCAGTTTCAAGAAAAGATGGTCTACAACAAGTAAATGCTGCCCTTTGAGCACCCCAAACTTAAAGCAGATCTTGCTCTTCCAAACAAGGTTGACGCTTTTTCAGAGCCACCCCCTCCTGTAGCAGTACTGTAGAACGATGAAATAAAAAAACCAGTGGGGAAAATATAAATTATACTTACCCTACTCCTTCTTCCATATTGCAGGGGGTGAGGTCACCATCTTCTTGTAAGAAGATGCTTTATCACAGAGCAGTGCAAGATTACTTAGCAATGCTCATGATCTACCTGGAATGGATGATGATGTCTTCCTTGCCAAGACGCTGGATAGTATAGTATATTGACCAAGCACAGTATATTAACTAATTGCCATTAAAAAAGCAGACTTTGCATTTTTATTGCAAGTTCCACTTAAAAAAAAAGGCCCTATCATCAAAAAATAAAACCTATATACCCCAAATTAAATGAAAACCCCAAAATAGCAGCCCAAATGAAAACCCAAAAGCCAAAAGTGACCGCTGCTCTCAAATCAAGAACAAACTAAAATTAAAAGAACAAAGACCTGAATAATTGGAACAAAGAAACAAAAATACTCGAATCTCTATCTATGCAGTTTGCCAGCTTTCCCTACAGCAGCTTCCAATACACTGGCACTGCTGCTTTGAGCCCGCTCTTTTATAGTGAGGGGCTGGCATATCCAAAAGCCCCCATTTGGGTTCCCATGACCATGGTTTAAAGGCCATGAAAAACATACTAGCTTTAAAACTAAAAATTAAGGTCGCAGAGGATTCGAACCTCATTCCTTCCTTGCAGTGTTGTCCCTGAAATTTGTAGGCAAATACTACCTAAAAGTTTAAAATTGCATTGGCACGCTCTCTACTTCCCACATGGCAATGCCTGCTTTTGGCAGTAAGTAATTTAGGCAATGTGCACTGATTTGTTGCATAGAGTAGGATGTGTGGTTGAGTGGTTACACTTGATGGACTTGTGTCTTTTTTTCAACCTGACTATGTAACTATGTGTGCAAGCTACCACATACAAAGAGGTTTGGATTTTTCGGCACCATGCTAACTTTTACTCTAACAGTCGATGCTGCACCTAATGGAGCCTTCTGTTCAACAGTAACCTACAAGCTTTTATTACAGCACAGAGTGACTTTAAATAACTGTTTAAAAAATAAAAATATATTTTGTGGCAGTGTTGTGCTTCTAGGAAACACTTTTTCCAATAAAGATTGCACATAACAAATTGATTGCCTTTTACAAACAACATTTTCCTTTTAGTGCAAACATTACTGTTTTTAGAGAGGACCTTATGTAGGTCATCAGCGTGTTAAATGTTTAAAGCCATGCTCTGCCAGCATACAGTTCAGTTCATTTAACACAACTGAATAGTAAAGGCATCCGATGTGAAACTGGAAATCTTGAGTTTTGGGCTTAGCTCAGGAACTAAAACATATAATGGGATTGATGCATTAAGTATCAAAAAGCAATTCCAAGCATTCATTTTTGCTCATGAGATCACTTCATAGCTTCTCCCGTTATGCAAAAATCAGTAATACTGCATGCTAATTTTTACTTTTTTAACAAATACCCCTTAATAGTAATAGAAAGAGGCAGTGTGCTCACTGCTGTGCATTGTGCTTATCGTGCTGATCAGATTAAAGGGAAATAATAATGAATTTTGGTTATTTTACTATATGTATAAAATAATTGTTTACAAAGAAAACGTAATACACAACAAAGGGCTGCCAGAAAATGATATAGCTGGTCATACACTGTTAGAATTCTGCCCGATACCTGTGAAAATCAGCCAAAATTCTAACTATGGGTGGCCCTGCCAGCACTACTTGGCTTGACAAACTTTGACTAAAAAAATGAAGGAACCAGACGAAAACTATTGGCCAAACTGCAACTGCAGACAGTCAGTTGCAGATATTGTTTGGGTATTCTGACAGCTGTGGGCACTGCAGAGATTCTTCTAATAAAATTATATTATGACAGCCGACCGGGCAGATTTAGCTATTCACGCTTTGTAGTGTGGATGGGAGAATCAAGCTTTTTGTCTCTGAGAAAAAAGTTATATATGTATGTCCAGCATAAGGGTTATCCATAGTGACTGCACACACTAAATGGTAAATAAACCATACCTAATCAACATACGAATTAATAACGTTAATTTATATACATTTTGTAGGTTTCTTGCATTATTGTTCATTATTTTTTTAAAGTTTGTATTAATCCTAGCTGCATATCATTTATGGAGAGACAATCTGCCTGTTCTCTTCAAAATGTTTCAAGGTTTCTATTTTCACACAATGGGGTTAATTTACTCAAGGCAAATAGGAAATAGGCTTTTAACTTTGCAAAGGGAATTTCAGTTGAGTGAATAAGATGAAGCTTTCATCCTCCAATACTGTGCAAGCAAAAAAAATACTGTACTTTCTCTTGTAAAGTGCAAATTCACCTTCAAAGTGAGCAGCCTATTTTCCTTCTGTAAATAAACTCCATTGGGTCAACATTGAGTTCAAGCATACCTACCCACATCAATTACTGGCCATGAAAATAATGGATCAGGAAATAAATGTTCTTGGCAGCCGGTATTGCATAAGCTGGTTACGTATTTGGCTACTAGAAGCCATGGAATGGCATAGGAATTAAATGCTAAAGAATTAACAGGTTGAATTCATTCAAAATACTTCTAGAGTTTAATATAACAAGTAATATGCTGTTGTCTCTGCAGTACTTACATCCATTTTAAACTGGAGTAGAAAATTTTCTTGAAGTGCTAAAATCCTTGAGATAAAATATAAATAAAAGAATAAACAAATAAATGAAAACCTTTGAAACAGGAACATAAAAGTCTTTGAAATATCTTAGTAACATACTATATATACCTGCGTACATTTAAAAAAGTACTGTACTGCCAATAGCTGCTAAAAATGTATTTGATATGCGGCATATTGAAATGCAATTATAAGTGACATATCTAGATATATTTCTATAGGAGCATGAAGGCCATCGCAAATGACAGACAACCAATAATGGCTTTTTATGAACACGCCATCCATAGATTCAAAAGAAAAATAAATAAACAAGACTATGGCAAGCAGAAAACAATATATAAAGGTTAATTGTACTGCTTTTAGTGTGATTGTATTTATATTTCTCCCTGCTTACTTTTCCATATAACATAAAAAGTTAGCTCTGTAAGATGAGACATTTAGAGTACATTTAATAGACTGGAACAGTACAGTGAAATACTTACTTTGCCAAGTCATTTAGATCCAAACGACCATCTTTATTCTTATCAAACAGTTTCATCTAAAATGTACAAATCATATAGTCAGAAAGAGGCAAAGCTTTGTTTGTTAGGACAAACAAGCATTACTGCAGGCTTTTGGAGGCTGTGCAGACACCTAGGTGCATGTACTTTATACCATGAATGAATAGATTCTCTTTACATTTTCAAAAAACTAGAAAGGCAGAAAGTATCATTTCACAAGCCTTGTCTGTGAGTGGTTTTCACATTAAACATACAAGAATATAAACAGTTAAGAAATAAACTTTGTCTACAAAGCTGCAATTGTGGGTGCAACTTACCATAGTATCAGTGTATTCATCCAGTTTGTCAGGAGTAATACATTTTTTGTGTTGTGAAAAAAGATCCTGTAGGAAATTCTAATAAGGTAAAAAAAAAAAAAACAAGTATAAGAATCAATTTTAAATATTCTAGATTTCATTAATTTTCAAAATATTAACTGAAATGGTGATATTTCATATTTTCCTATGGAATAGCTTTTAGGAGATTACGTAACAGGGTGTTAGAACCCCATTGTACACATGTGGACGTCTCTTGTAGTTTCTGCAAGCACCGTTGGATGTCATTGTTTGCCCTTGTGCAGTGTAGGTATCCTTCTATGGGTAGTCCCACCTAGGGGTTGCTAGGTAGCCTTTATGTCTCCTTAGAATTGAGGAAGCTTCTTAGGTCAGGGACTTTAACCCTATAAACAGTTGATGACGATGAAGTAATACATTTTTGCATGCAAATTTATGCAAGTGGAATATGGCACTGTTGATAGTGATTCAGGCCATGATTTACTGAATTATGTACTGATGTTTGATGTATCCAGCTATAGGCTCACATACCACATACTAAACATGATCTTTTAAAAGTTATTATCACAAGTAAAAAAATTTCACTGGATTGCTCAGAAGGAAGTTTCTTAGGTTATTAATACCTACAAGTTTAACAACAGAATCAAAATGGTTTTACAAGGTGAAAGAGCTAATTTATGGTGCTCATGTATAAATCCCTCCCTGATATTAGCCTGTCTCGCCTCCTGTGTCCTAGCTAATCAAGGTACACAAATCATTACCGTTCACGCCAAATTAACTAGGCTCCCTTTTTTCCAGTCCTAGTGTTACTTGTGATATTGTCTATGGCTCAGAGCAGGACCTGTGTGCAGATAGAAATACTGATTGGCTGCACTTGCCTAAGAAGCCAAACACTAGAACTTCCTGCATACAAAGATGCTGGACTTAAAGTGAACCTGGGGAGTGTTTTAAAGAATGCATTTGAAATACATACAAGCCCTCACACTTAATGGGATGTACAGGTGACACAAGGAAGGCTGCTGTCACATATTAGCAGAAAAGCTGATCTGCAACTCTGTGTAGTTCTTTCACAATGCAAAGATTTCTGATCTTGCACTGCAGCCTGCTTTGATCCAAAGGACTGGATGGTAGCAGAGAGGGTCCACTATCCATTAGTGTTGGTAACAGTTTGCTCAGGCCATAGACCCCACTAACATTTCTCTGATGGGCTCCTTACAGACCCTCTTGCAACAGATTGAGCAGCAAAAGGCCCAGTGTAATCACATTACTTAGGCACTTAAAGACCTGTCTTCCTCTATGAATAAACTGTAGACCTCCTTGCAGGGCAGAAAAGCACTCCAACACTAAAGCCAAAGGTGAATTTGTTGAAGCCCTTTGTGGTGGTCTGCTAACTTGCTGTGAATTGTCCCTGCTCTCTGCTTTTAGTTCCATCTAGGCCTGTCAGAAGTGATTAGAGGTTCCCTAGGCTAACCATGTCCTACTCCCATTTAAAAGGTTACCTACACTATTCAGCTCTTCTTTGCTTCACAATAGTCTCCTAATGGGGAGTTCAATTCCCCTCATTCTTATGTCTCTACTTTTGGTTCTGGGGGCAGGGTCCAACAGTCTACCTAACACATACAGTACATCTTCAGGTGCCATTTTACAAACTTATCCCCCATTTTATTAGGACCTTCTTTGTTCCATCATAAATTTCCATGTAACTTACAATTTAAAGTTGCCTCCCAGTGTTTGGATTTCAAATTCCTTTCATGTATCATCTGAAGGCACCAACAACATTGCTCTATCAGATCAGTGATGTTGCTATTTTCGTATTAGAGCTACCCATACAAGGCATGTATAGGCATTACATTATATGGTACTGTATCATTTTTAAATTGACTGAATGCTAATTTTAATAAATACATTTTATTTAAAAAATAATGATAAACAAATGCCATGCTTTGATAGCATATCTTTAACAGAGGTGGCAATAAAGGGAGGGGAAAATCCAGTGCCGTATAAAGAGCTGATTACTGTACTAAAATAGACAGCAGAGAAGTTCTGCTGCTTTCACCTCCTACTTGAGAGAGGGAGATAAACCACAGAGCACTCACTACACTCCTATGGAACCTAAACATGATGTCTGTAGAGCAAAATAGATACTATACAGTAAAAAAAAGCGTTGAGCAAAGTCTTTCTTCTGTGTAGCTATGCAACATGACTAATAAAGAATAAATACAAATTATGAACATGGACACAAAGCTACAAGTACTAACCTCAACATTAACAAATTGTCAGTAATTTTGGAAATCTCTTTCAGTTGTATAGAAACAGGGGCTATAAAGTTTATGACTGCAACCAGATCTGGACTCCTGGAGGTTCTAACCACTTATTAGGTCAGCCAGTAGCTCAACTATTTCTGATCTCAGGGAAATAGGATTTGTTCCAATAATGAATGATAAATTAAAACAATAGGCTATAATCAATTCAAGTCATAGAATAATTTAGGTAATAGGTTTATTTATGTAGTAAGACAAATGCATGGCTTAGCTAGTCTTTAATCATTACACTTTTATGGGGAGGTACATCCATATGGAGAGAATGGTAAATGTAACATATATATATTCCAAAATGGGTTTTATTTACCAATTTATAACAATCTGTAATGCACCAGGCTTGTTTTGCACTGAAACTTGGCATGGCTATTTGACTGTGTAGATATATATATCTACCATAGTCAACTAGCCAATAGAAACAAAGCATAAAACCTAACCTTGCCTAACCTTCTTGATCAACACCTTAACTGTTGCAGCTTGAGAGAAAGTATCAAATTCAAAATTCAATTTGCTGCAAAATCAATTTCTTTGCTACAAAATCTGCTATGTAGATGGACCTATTGTACTGCAAGACCTCAAGGCAACACATGCAACACATAATTATATATCAAATATCATTTCAGTTTCAAAAATCTCTTAACGTTTTTGGCATTTCCAAAAAAATCAAAATGACCTGATTCAGAACCACACCTGGTACAAAAGGCAGAGCCTTTCCAGCCTAATGTTAATAGCATTGAGAATCCAATAAACCCTATCAATTATAAACAATTGTGTTCATTGTAATAATCTTTTAGCAATAAAGAACCTGACCATAAAATAGAAACACATTAAGAGTTTATAAATAGAATCTTTACATTGCCCTATTAGTTTAAAGGAACTTGAAAACACTTTTAAAAACCTACTAAATAATGATGGTTGTAAGATTTGATGCAGAAAAAACCCTTTAAAAGGCTTAATGACCCTTCATGCTTGCCACGCTTACCTCAGCACCCATTATTAACCTGCCTTTACCTGCATTACTACTATGCTGTATGACTTAGGCAGATCCCACACTGAAAACAGATCTATCCCCACACTGGATGGGTTAAATCTGAATTCTAAACATTGTCTCCACTACCTCCAAACTCTTTAATACCCCTTGTCTACCCAAATAATGCCACACTAAGGTTAGATAATGACAGATCAGTGGGCTCAGAAATGTACTGGGGTAGAATAATTATTTTATCTTTAAGTTAAAGGAATAAAATATAGGAAAATGATTGTCCTCTAATAAATATAATTTTGGTATTTCATGGTATTGGATATGATTTAATAATTTGTAGTGTGTAAGGTTTTAGCATCAAAAAGTCTGCACACAAAAGTCAGTCAAGTTTTAGTGCAGTTGTATATCTATGTCAAGGTAACACAGATATCAGTTTTTCCATGCAGGGGAAAGGCCACCATACACCCAAACTGAGGATTCCAGTTCTCGGGTCACCTCTGACTCATAGAAAGTGACCCTTTGCACAACTCTCTCCTTTGTAAAACTGGCACTTTCTGTTTTTAACACCTAGCTCTCCATTCAGTTGAAATCCAAACACGAAGAGGTGGCCAGTGAGCCTACCCTTACTCTCCCTGGCCAGAGCACAAACTAATCAGGATACAGCTTCTTGTCAATTATGCTAGCATCCAAAGGCTGTTGGTAAATTAATTGTCACTAACTCGTCCGCAGACGATTCCATCCCAGATCTGGGGCTGTTTGTCACAAGTTTTACAGTGTTCATGAATATATAATGAACATTTATTTTGAGTAATACCCTGGTTTCTGCTATTAATATCATATCCCAATCCAAAACCTTCTGACAGAGCTGACACTGACTGGCAAAACACGTGACTTGTTAACTAAAGTGCCCTGTCAATAACATCTGCTACATGGCCTTTATCTAAAATCATAGGTATATTGCAAACAAAGGATTCAACTCTTGTCTTTAACAGCCCCAAGAACATAAAACAACACATTATATTGTATTCAGTCCAACACATTAACTATTTTAGCGGTCTGCCATGTTTCCATTCACTTTGTAAAATGCTGTATGACTTCTTGTATTTTAAAGAAACAATAATGAAGGTTATAATACATGCTATACATGCCTTTTGAAAGCCTAGTTCTGAAACTATTATATACTATATAATGGATTGTCACAAGTTCATTCTATGTGGGATATTGCTGACATCCTGTAAACCCCACTATTAATGAAAATATTTTTATACAGGTAGAGAAATGTATTCTGCTGTTATCAACCTTATGCTAAAAGGATATAATTATTCCAGAGGTATTTGACTGCCATGAAAAGTCTAAATATTGGTGCTGATGTTTTTTCATCTAAACTCGAGCATTATTTAAGTATTCAAGTATAAGCAATACAATTATTTTCATCGATTATGAAGAGAATATTGTCAACAACTATATGGTTTAGGATCTATAGAATGTAGTATGGCCAAAGTAAACCTGTCAAGAAATGCAAAGCTTCCTTGGCTGACCTCTCCTTCTGAAAATGATAGTTGCCTGGCTCTTATGTTCACCCCCAGGCTTCTGTACTTTAAGTCACTGATGTGCAACAAATATGCAGATACTTACTTTCTGCTGACTTTTCTGGTCAGAGTACTCCTACTGCAACTCAGCAAATGAAAGCCTCCTTTTTTTCCACAACAGGTTTAATTTATTCATATATAATCATATTTGTGAGATTTTATACAAAAATATGGTTAAGGATAGAAGAGTGTTGTGTGCTTTTAATTAATCAAATTATACAGCTATTACTGCAATCACATGCTCTCAGGACTAGTTAGTTTGTCTGCTTTATATTTTTATATCAATCTCTTCTAGATAGATATTTAATATAAGTTACATGTTCATCTTTATATAACATGATCACTAGTTGAAGTCAACAAGCCATTAATAGATTATCATGTTAAGCAATGAACACAATGTCCTGAAGAAAATGTCCCTGAAATCTCGAACTCTATACAGCAGATGAAAGCATATGTTCATTTTATTGTGATATTTCTGATATTATAACTGAACAGGCTAATCTTTTTTTTTGTCTTTATTCAAGAAAAGTAGTAATGATAAGAAGACCTATTCTGACCAGAAGATACACGTGAGAGGTCACATCATATCCTACACCCACTTCTTACTACCATTAGGGATCGGACTGACATAAAAAGCAGGATACTGTTTATTCTGCACTCAAGGTGTGAGACAATGCTTTATAGTAATAATGGAGTAGGATAAAGAGCAGAAAGAACTGCATTACTAGTAGAATTCCTAGTAGGCATTATGGGTTTGTGTCAAGCAGCCTGATATCATTGTGCATAAGTGTGACAATACATTTACTACTGCTAATTTCTAAAACCTTGTAATCTGTCTATTAGCAGCATGACATTTACTGAATATCTAGAACTCTACAACTGAACGTGTCAGCCATGATATCTATCAGGGCAAAGTCAATGAGAGTTATGTCATATTCACTTAACAGATGAGTTACTAAATGACACAGCTTAGTTCCACACAATTATGTTCATAAAACACTACATCTCGACAAATCTATTGTAGTCCATTGAGTCAAGGCTGGCCCATTTCCACCTCTGATCTCAAATACAATTTATTTTCATTTTACTAATGGCTTTCCACAGCTAGTCACTAAGTGGACAGTAATGGTTCCTCTGGGCAATCTGTTTCCTCTCTAACCAATAACTGTTGCTGTTGTCCACTGTAATTATTAAACACTGCACTTTGCTTTATGCAAGACAATAAACAGAACTAAAACACTGTTAGCATTACAATGTCTGAATGTATATTACTGCCTGGAATCAAAATTAATTTAACTGGGTTTTTATGCCACAAAATGACCCATAATGTGGAAGTGGAAAGGTCTTGATCATTTCCCAAATGATTTCCAAATAAAAACAAAAAACTGAAATGATTGTGTTCATACCCTTTTGTTTTAAAACCAGTAAATGAGCTGTTGTACAACCAACTGCCATCAGAAGTTACATGATTAGCTAAATAGAAGCACCAGCAAAAATTGGGTTATAAAAAATGCAAACTTTAAACATTGGTCCACTATTAAAGAATGCAAAGAATATGGCACAACCATGATTCTACCTACAGAAGGCCATCATCCAAAACTGGGAATGGGACAAAGGGTATTGATCAGGGACACAATCAAGAGGCCAATGGTAACTCTGAAGGAGCTACAAAGATCCACAGTTAAGGAGCTGTTCATTGGACATCTGAAACTAGGACAGTATACAAAGCTGGGTTTTAAGAATGATTTTTTTCATTGCTGAAAAAAAAACACATCAGATCCTATTGAGAGTTTGTCAAACATCATGTGCTAGATACAACAAGCATGTGGAAAAAAGGTTCTGTGATCTGATGAAATGAAAACTGAACTTGTTGGTAAAACAATATTACTCATCACCCTGATAACACCTTCCTGTGGTGATGCATGGTGGTGATAGTATCATACTGTGGAAATGCTTTTCATCAACAGGGACTGGAATATAGGTCAGGACTAAGACTATGCTATACAGGGTAAAACACAGGGCAATTATAGAGTAAAAAACAAAGCTTTCTGTAATAGACAGGAGACTGCGGATGAGATTTAACTTTCAACAGCATAATGACCTTAAACACAAAGTCAAAGCTATACTGAAGTACTTTAACTGAAAACCTGAATGTCTGAATGTTTGCCATCAGTTTCCATCAAACCTGATTGAGCAAGAGCATGGCAGTAAATTGAGGGCATGGCCCCGGCATGGTAACTTTTTAAAAGGGATTCATATATTGTCCACTAACAGCTACTGTATATAATAACCTTCCAAAGCAATTTAATATTCCCTACTGGCCATGTAGATTCCCCAGCACTTGCATCATCATCATCTTAAAAAACACCTAGGGTCTATTTATATATTTTTTCACCCAGATTCACACAAATTTCACCCATGATTCAACCATTTTTCGAATTAAATCTTATGGAAATATGTAAAACGTGTGTGAATCTTAAGTATGAACAATGACAAATAGAACCCTCCAGAATCAGTAAAGTCTTAGCCACCATTGCAAAGTCCCAAAGTAAAACTAAATCAGAGACATGTGTTGAAAAAAACGCTTTGTGGCTAACAAACGTAAAGACATATTTTTTTCTTTGGCTAAGGACTATTATCACTTGTAAAATGTTAGAATAGGGTTCAGGTTCACTTCAGTATTCAGGAGCACAGCATAAGATGTTACAGCACCTCAGATGACTTCAGTCATCCTTGTTCCTCATTCCTCATTGATTTTGTTTTCCTTTTTAAATGTCACTTTTGCAGAAGTACATCATTTAGGTGCACAGCTTCACATGCAGGTTTAGGGCATCCTCCAAGCACGTTAATTAAAGGAATTGTGTACTTCCAATGTTGGCCTATAAGACACATTAAAAGACTCACTTCCTGCTGAACAGTCTTTTTTTCTCATTGGTATTTCCCCCATTGAAGTGGCCAGCTACCCATGCCCTTTAACAAAAGATTGCAAATTGGTCTTGAAAAAGGTCAGAAACAAATGGCAAAGTTCAGCTCCCATAGACTTCAGTCGGGTTCTGTCACCATGCTCGGGGTTTGCAGATTTTTTTCAAGTGTTCAGTTAATGTCTAGCGAACTGAACTTTGCTAGGTTCCCTCATCACTAGATGTAATTATTCTGAAAAAATATTACCCTAAGTTCCACTGCAGAGATATATCCACTGCTGTCTTCATCATATTTCCGCCAAATCTGAAAATAAAAGTTAAAACATATCATTTAAAGGTTTAAGTACAACATATAAAGTGACCCAACACATAATAATACATATAGCTCACCCAAATCCAGACACATTAATATGACAGCATGATAAATATGTCTACTGAGTGCAGTCTCATTTACTGTATCATAAATATACGGTTTCATGCAGTCTGTGTTGCACATAGTATCTAATAGCATCTAATCATATCTTCCTTTCATTGTCCCATATTGAAGGTATGTGAATTAAACTGACCATAAAAATAGATTCTTGTTCTTTCCTTAGATACAGTAACAAACGTGCCACAATATTTGTAGCACACAGTACATACAGTATAACTATATAAACTCTTTATGCTACTCATATCTTTGTAACATACTGTTCTCAATATGTGATTAACTTCAGTGTGACATATTACCAGAGCTATATGTTGTATTTGTGGTATAAGGTATATTGCATACCTGCTTAAAGTAGTATTAAACTCTCAATCTTTTTACATAATATACTGTACATTGCTCTTCAAAGCATTTCCTTGAAGAGCAATGTAGCACAGTCTCCAGCAGCTGTCCATTTACTAGCTTGGAGAAGGGAGAAGGGAGGAGAGGAGAGCAGGGTATTGATCAGTGACATGCGGTCAGGGGAGGCAGGTAGGGCAGAGCCTCACCTAGTATAATGAAGAAAAAAGGTGTCAAGTCTGAAGCTGACAGCTTTTTCTCCATTCAGGCTTGTTACAGTTTACACAGCAGGGAAAGCCTCCCCACTGTGTAACCTGTCATGGACGGAGCGCTGCCTTTTAATTACAGGCAGCGATGCATCTGGCTTTTGACAGGTAGTTAGGTTACACAGCAGCGGGCTTCCCCACTGCTTGTGTAACCTAACCTATTGAGGCAGGAGCTGGCACAGCCTATACTGTGTTAGAGGCGTGAGCTCTGTGGATGGTTTGGACCAATGGCAAAGCGTTATTGCTCCAAGCTGTCCAATCAAATAAACAACAACAAAAAACAGTGAGGACATCGATCTCGATGCCTCACCAGTGACGAGCAAGTGAGGGACAAGGAGGCTTCTCCCTTCCTCCTGCCCTCACAGCTTTGTTACCAAGCTGGGGCGGGGCTTTGGTGGGATGGAGGCGGAGCTATGGCGGGCTGGGGGGTACCTCACCCACCACAAAAGGCACGGCATGTCACTGGTATTGATTTGCCTTTGCTGTGTCTGTGTTTATGGAGACACAGAGCTTACTAGCACACACAAAGGTGGCTCCATAGAACCCTGCAAGGGAAAGCTACCCTAAAACAGGTTATCAGGGCCGATGCTCTGGGGACCAACTGATTCTTCAGGAAACTAAAACTTTTAAACATCAAAGAGCACCATCCATTGCGAGTGATTTAATCAGTATTTCAAGTAGCTTAAAAACATTTTGACTTTAACCCCATCAGGACCTTTTGCTGCCAAGGCCTTTTTTGTTTTGTTTTTGCACACATGATATAATCCACATTTTAGGCCTGAAAATTAATATAAACACCCCATAATATTATATATTTTCTGAGAGCAAACACCCTGTAGAATGAAGTTGCAAATTTTTATGTTGCACGATATTGGCGCAACATTTTATCAAACCCAAAAATTTAGTGAACAATGCACTTAACTTAATTTTAGTGCCCCAAAAGGAGTGAATAGATACCCAACATGCCCAGGTAAAAAAATTGTGTGCATGCGTGAAACGATGACAAAATTCAGTACCCCAAAAAGTCAATAGGTGAGCCTTTAAAAGCCCCCGCAGGCCATCAGTTTAGAGATACGCATAAATATTGGCCCTACAATTATTGCTCTCACTCTGGCGTAATAATCACCTTAAAGAGGACCTGTCACCACCGGCGATGCATACCGAGGCTGCCTTAAAATGTCAAATAAAATTGACCCAAACAGTCCAAGGGTTTACCGCCCTCACTTCCCTATTCAAAGCAGAAAAAAGTCTTGACAGACTTTAACATAAATGTACATGTAAAGTTATTTGGTGTGACATTTAAATTTTTACTTACTTGCTGTTTATATTTTTTGTTATTGTATTGTATAGAAATGAGTAGGTTAGCCCCTAGAAGGATAGATTTGCTTTTACAATAAAATATTTAACACTTGACAAGGGTTTTCTAAAGCACAATGGGTTATTTAAAGAGAATAGTAGAAGCAGCCTGCCTTGGGGTTTGCTTTGTCTAAATGAAACCTTATATGCAGTTCTGAGATAAGGGCATTTCTCTCACTCATTCATTTGTGTGTTTAAATTTCAGATTGATCTACTGAACTGTGTAAACAACAGACTTTTTTTTACAACAGGCAGTAAGAAGACAGGGAAATCATACAAAAATGGACCAAAGGCTCAAATTCCTGTCTGGATATAAGACTCTACATTATATTCATATGAAATATTCATATTTTCCTGATTAAAAAATTATATATTCATTTTTCAGTCCTTGCCATAATAAGGATATAGATGCACTGTATACAGAAAATATATGCAGTATACAAAACTTTGATACATTCATTGTAACACACAATAATAAGATAATTTACGTCAACCTGATCTCTTCTATGTATTTATGTAAACAAATGATAAAAATACTAGGATAGGAATAATATAGGATAGGAATAATAGGAAAGATTTAGAATTGTTAATTGTGCCTAAGTAGTACCTTTTTCCTTAACTTCCTCCTAAAAAAAAAGCAGTGCACTTCGTGTATATCTGCAGTGTGAGATGTAAGGCATTGCTGCCTCTGACTGTTAGTCTTGGGTGATTTGGAGTGTTATTTGGTGATGTCATTACTGAGCTGCTAACTATTCTCCTTGCTAGAGACTCGGACATGAGGAAGCAAATCCCTGTCTCTATGAAGATGGCTGCCTCCACACAGAGACACATTGCAGAACAAGGCATTGCAAGTAAGTAATGGGGAGAGTTCAGCTGCAGGGAGACCATAGGCAGTACTGATGACTAGTCCTTTGCCCTCTGCCTACCTTTATAGGGCAAAGTTGTCACAGTTCAATACCCTTTTAATGTCCCCTTGTCTATAAAAAATGGTAATGTTTGACATCTACGTGACTTTGTTGAATAGCCTTAGCTCAATGTACATGTTCAAGTCTAAAGGGGACAACAGAATTTTAACTTTGGTAGTTTATTTCTAAGCTTCTATGGAAAAATGGGACCAAATTTCAGTACCCCACACATTTGTTTTAACCATTTTCTTTTCTAATAATCTCCTAGAACCTTTTACTTATGAATTATTAACATTGTTAAAAACCCTTTTACATAAAACAATTTATGAATGTTATATCATTTGTGTGCAGAACCCACTTAGTTTCACTTACTCGCATGAATTCCACACTGTTATCCAAAGGAGTTTCTCTGCGGAAAAGTAACAGAAAGTTTTCATCCTCTGGCAAAATCATATATGCAAGCTGCAAGAAAAAGACAGTATAAAGGCATCAGAAAAATCTGAGAGTAATCTATATGATTTATTGCATGCATTGTATTGGATTTTTCAATACTATGCGAAAGCTAATAGTAACCTATATAAAATATTATTTGCACTAAACGATTACTGCCTTCCTTTAGATTGTTTGTAAATAAATCAAACCTAAAATCATGTGCATATTAAATGATCTTTAATATTTACTTTTTGACCTTACCATTTTTTTATAAATAATATTAACAAAACCTGTTGATGTTATTATAACAAATCATTTCAAAGTATAGTATTTTTTAACCTGTTGGAAATAAGAGGCTGTATTTCAAGGTAATGTGCATTGTCTTGGTCCTTCCATTTGAAGTTAAAGGTGTCTTGAGAATTTTGAAATGTCGGTTTCTGTGGCTTAAGTTAATGTTGCTTAGATGTCAGGAAAGGGGAATGTTGGTCCCCAAGAGCATTTCACACATTAAGTAAAGGCTCCTTCAGTACAGCCTCAGTAAATGGTCGGGTGGATATGGGACACACATGCTGTCTCTCTCTTGTCAAATACACAGCTAAAAGTGTTCTGCATTAGTTAGCTTTTGACAGATCCATGATACTACCTCCATGAGGTTTATACTGCTAAATGTGTCAATGGGCCAAAAGAAAATAGCAGAACACTTCTTACAAATCTTGAAAGCGTAAGGCATAAACAGAGGTACCCTTTATATTTACATTTCAAAATCAGTTCTACAGCTGGGACATTTCTGCTGCCAATCTCTGTTATGCCAGCTATAGGGGGTCTTTATCAGTTTGGGTGCACAGCAAGGTAGTACTAAACCGGACCAGTGAGACATACTGTATTATAAGAGACAACCAATGTAAAGGGGCAATTTCAACATTGTCACATAGAGGAGGGGATGTTAGAAAATCATCTGCCTAAGCTAGGTATACCACTATAGTTTGCAAATTTGTGCGTTATGGTGTGTATTTTATGAGCATTCTGTAAACAGCTATAGGCAACTGAACACAGCTTATACAGTTTATACAGTATCAGTTTGGCAGCTTATGCAGTTTCGGTTTGGCAGGATGGAAAAATGCAAACAATTGCAAGTTTCCACAATGGATGTTTCACCAGCCTGTCCAAGCATAATATAATAAAACTGGTAGTAAGTTTAAGTTGCAAAGATTATTTCACACTCATGCGTTTCAATATTATATTTATGAGAAAGATGGAATTGTGTTGTAAATACTTAGGCGAGATGGTTATTCCTCTATTACATTATTTTTTGTGTGTATTATGTGTTAAGGTTACTTAATGCTAATGTTCTAATGTTTCATGTATTTGTAATTGTTATTATAAATTTATTATCAATTTAATATATTGAGATTGACATGGTGATGTAGCGTGCTCTGTTGAAGAGATTTTAGCATCTGTTCTGAAAGCTGAGAAGCAACCAGGAGCTGCAAGTTCAGAGTGTAAAAAGTCCATGCAGAAACTGGCCTAGTCCAATGGACAGCAATTGATAGGCTTTAAAAGAAATCCCTGCACGCCTGTGACACTTAGAGAGTCTGCTGATGACAGATTCTTGGTGAGAATGTTTCTCTGATTGTACAATAAAAGCTGACTGCTTCAAAGCTCCTGTCAGAGTGTAGAATTTAGACCCTGTGGTGGATAAATGGCTTAAAGGGGTGCTTTTTTGCCATCAGCCAGGAACTAGAATTTGATGCCTCCCCCCCCAAAAAAAATACAGCTGCTTTACAACAACCTAATTACCATGGAAGTAGCCATTTGACAGACAATTAACTCCAGCGAGTGTATTCTACTATCCAACATACATTACATGGTGGCCAGTGTTCCTATCTGCATTAGGTTGGGAGTGGATGTCAATGCCAGCATTACATTGGTGGTCTAAGTCAATGTCCCCATTACATTGGTGGTCTAAGGCAATGTAATTTTGTAAAGTGATGTGCAAACTATTGCCACTATAAAAAATACATTGTTGGCCACTATATATGCCCCATTACATTGGTGGGCTGTGTCAATGTCTCCTTAAATATGTGGCCAAGGGGAGTTAAAATACCCCATTACATTGGTGATCAATGACAAAAAATGCCCACTCTTACATTGGTGGTCATTGAGAAGAAAGCCTCTCTTATATCAATGGTCAGTGGGAAGAACACCCCCTCCCCACCTTACAGAGGGGGGAGCAGTGGGAAAATGCCTCCTCTTTTATTGGTGGTCATTAATAAAATACCCCCTTTTTTTATTGGTGATCAGTTTGAAGAACCTCCTATCTTGCATTGGTGGTCTGTAAAAAGTATACCCCTTCTTATAATGGTGGTCAGTAGAGAGTCTACCCCTCTAACAATGTTGGTCAATAGTAAGAATGCTACCTATTTTTTTAGTAGTCTGGGAAGAATGTGCCCTTTTTCATTGGTGATCAGTGTGAAAATGGCCCCAATTACATTGGCAGCCAGTGGGAATTTGAAATGCTATCCATATATAGGAGAAGATGAACAATGTAGAAATGTATCCAAGTCTCCTTTATCAGTTTGAGATGAAGTAGAACAGCGCTCATCCAGCACATGGTCCACTCTCCATACACCTGCTACAAAAACAACAATAAACCCTATTCCAGTTAGTTCAGTTTGAAGCTTGGCTGAAAGACAGGTCTCCTGGTTTACTTTCAGGACAGTGTATTTTCCATATATTTCTATAGAAACTCCACTAGAAGGCAGGTGACATGTAGATGCTGATACATCTCTATGGGAGTCCTAAATCATTAAAGCGAACCTGGCATGAGAGAATTACAAAGACTGCTATCACTGACTTTCAGTAAATACTAGTTGCCAGGTTGTTGTGCCTCCCCTATTGGCTTCAATATTTATACATTACATTTATGCTTTTAAAACATTCAATTATTTTCTCATTTATCACTGATGGCTGATTACATACCTCTTGTATTTGTAGGCGGCCATCTGAAGTGACATCATATGCAGACATGAATCGATCCTTCACCCTTTGGACTTTCTCTGCAGTAATTGCATTCTAGATTTCAACACATAATTGAATTTAAAAGGATTTATAAGGTATGCAACTTGTCCCCATACAACAGCTGTAGACAATGATAATGAAGGAACTGAATTTTAAAATGTTTTAGCAATTTCAGAAGCACATTGCGAGCTAATAAAATCACTGCAAGTAAGCATTTAGAAATATTTGATATTTTCTGTGCTTTTACCTGCAATTTTTTACTTTAGTGACAGGATTTCTTTAAGGATTGTGATTGTTAGTATTTTAGAGAGCTAACCTAGCAGGCAAGATGTATAGAGAATTGCAACAAGTAGAAAACAGGGTTTTTTGGGGAGGTATACAGACACTGCTTGGATCCATTTATGTAAAAATATAAAGTTTATTACATACTTAATAATTAGTATAAAATCATGAGTATAACCATTCTCATATAACACATCCCCATAATACAACTAACATTTAATACCACATCTAAGTGCAATTGGAGAGTGTAGTATACAGTCCCAACGCATTTTGCATATTGCTTCGTCAGGGGATCATGGATTAATCTAGCAATAAAAGTTTGTACATAAAAAATTAATTCTAGGCAATACAACATATCCATAAAGAACTTGTGTGTGATATGGGAAGATATTATAGTCAAAATAAGCAGAGAGGAAGCCCCACCACCAGTAATCACCCGGCACTTACCACCCTTGCGTGGTAACTGATGAGAGATGGAGATTCCTAGACCGAGCGGAGACGGGGATAGTAACCACCAACCCAACTACTCCGTCCAAATGTTGCCTGGGGGACCCCGGGGCCAAAAATAGGTGGGGTTTGTCCAAGGCAAGATAAGGGGGAGGAGGACCTGCCTTTGATCTGTCAGAGCTATCCAGATGATATCCTTGAGCCACTTGATACCCACTATCCATAGCTGTGCGTATTCCAAACCTGTTTGGTGGACCAAAAATTTAATCTAGTAGTCTGAGAATTAAGCTATAACAGCCTATGTAGTTAATGTCATTAGTGCTACCTACCCTCTCAAAAATGAGGCAGTGTTCTCAAACACCCATGACTGTGTGCCCCCCTGGCGGAAACTTGTCTCAGTAGTTTGTAGTTACTTTCACTATCATGTCACCATAGATATTTTCTAATATACTTTGTTCTGTGAGTAACACATATTTGACAACACAAATCAGGGACTGCCACTTGAAAGAGCAGGGTCCATCCATCCAGAAAAAAAGCTTATCTAGATTCAATACAGAGACTGCTATTGTCATCTTCTAATGAGGGTAGTATCTGATTCAATGTTTTAATATAACAGGGCATGTGGGGTATACATAACCTATATACTTCACATACACATATACCACATCCACAGACTCATATGCTTCTTCAGTGTTATGTGATCACTAATGCTTTATACTGTTGAAACTTCACATAGCACACACACTCTTGTATCACTTGCCCCTCCCTTTTAGATTGTAAGCTCTCACGGTCAGACGGCCGCTATGGGGCCTGGGAACAGGGGGGCCCGGCCAGGGCATCGCTCTGATGCCGTGTGGGCCGCCTGGGTCGCTATGGCATGTGAGGGTGCTGGCTGTCACCGACACAGCTCTGCAGTAGCGTTTCCCCTCATAGCTGCTGCGGAGCTGTGTCAGTGACAGCCAGCAGCTACGGGAGAAGAGGCCAGCGTTCACAGTGAAGGGGGAGGCGGGGCCCTTCGATAGAAGTGGAGGCGGGCCCCGGGGACGGAAAAGGAGGGGGGGCCCCGGCAACCACGGAGGCAGACAGCGCTGACAGGTAAGAAGTGCGCAGCCCATCTGAGACCCTGCAGAGCCCACTATAGAGAGTCTATGGTGGGTTCTGCAGGGTCACTCTCAGGTGGGCTCTGCAAGTGGCATAACTAGCAATCACAGGGCCCCATACAAAATTTTGCAATGGGGCCCTGTGATTTCTAGTTACGCCCCTGCTCCTTAGTATCTTGTCTTGAC